ATGTTTGCATCAACCCTACACTCTGCCACTTAGACTTAAATTCCCTCGCGCCTGCTTTTTCTTTGCCTGGCGAAGCTCTTTCCGACACAAACCAGAAAAACATGCAGTACACAGAACACACAAACCCCAAGCCCTAAACCCTGAAGCCTACCAACTTCCGAAAACTTTAACATGCCCGAGCCGAAACCTTGAACCTCAAAAGGTTTGAAACTCGACTCCTCCTTGGCTTCCTCCTCCTCTCGGCGGTGGGCTTCCTCTTCGGCCTTCCACATTGGGTTTGGGCTTTAAGGTTTGGGGGTTGGGGGTTGAGAGCCCTAGAACCCAAACCGATAAGCCCCTACTTCCTAACAAACTTTAGGGTTTGGGGGTCAGGGTTGAGAGCCCTAAAACCCAAACCGAAAAGCCCCTACTTCCTAACAAACCCCTAAACCAGGGAAGGTTTCAAGATCGCCTTCTTCTTCTTGGCGGCTTCCTCCTCTTGGCGAAGGGTTTCCTCTTCGGCCTTCCAGATTGGGTTTGGGGTTCAGGGTTTGGGGGTCAGGGTTGAGAGCCCTAAAACCCAAACCGAAAAGCCTCTACTTCCTAAGAAACTCCTAAAGATCGCCTCCTTCTTCTTGGCTTTCTCCTCTGCGCGGTGGGCTTCCTCTTCGGCCTTCCAGATTGGTTTTTTTTTACGTCCGAAATGCCTGTTACGACGGAGGGGCTGGTTCGGCCAGGGCAACTCCACAAGAACCGAGCAACAAATCCACCCTTACATCAATGGGTACCAACCCCAGATTGCCAAGCCCAGCCCTCAAGGCCAGCAAAATCAGCCTAAGAGGACCAGACCGCCTGCACAGGCACCACCAGATTGGGTTTGGGGTTCAGGGGTTGGGGGTCAGGGTTGAGAGCCCTAAAACCCAAACCGAAAAGCCTCTACTTCCTAAGAAACCCCTAAACCAGGGAAGGTTTCAAGATCGCCTTCTTCTTCTTGGCGGCTTCCTCCTCTTGGCGAAGGGTTTCCTCTTCGGCCTTCCAGCTTGGGTTTGGGGTTCAGGGTTTGGGGGTCAGGGTTGAGAGCCCTAAAACCCAAACCGAAAAGCCTCTACTTCCCAAGAAACCCCTAAACCAGGGAAGGTTTCAAGATCGCCTTCTTCTTCTTGGCGGCTTCCTCCTCTTGGCGAAGGGCTTCCTCTTTTGCCTTCCAGATTGGGTTTGGGGTTCAGGGTTTGGGGGTCAGGGTTGAGAGCCCTAAAACCCAAACCGAAAAGCCTCTACTTCCTAAGAAACTCCTAAAGATCGCCTCCTTCTTCTTGGCTTCCTCCTCTGCGCGGTGGGCTTCCTCTTCGGCCTTCCAGATTGGTTTTTTTTTACTTCCGAAATGCCTGTTACGACGGAGGGGCTGGTTCGGCCAGGGCATTGGGGGTCAGGGTTGAGAGCCCTAAAACCCAAACCGAAAAGCCTCTACTTCCTAAGAAACCCCTAAACCAGGGAAGGTTTCAAGATCGCCTTCTTCTTCTTGGCGGCTTCCTCCTCTTGGCGAAGGGCTTCCTCTTTTGCCTTCCAGATTGGGTTTGGGGTTCAGGGTTTGGGGGTCAGGGTTGAGAGCCCTAAAACCCAAACCGAAAAGCCTCTACTTCCTAAGAAACCCCTAAACCAGGGAAGGTTTCAAGATCGCCTTCTTCTTCTTGGCGGCTTCCTCCTCTTGGCGAAGGGCTTCCTCTTTTGCCTTCCAGATTGGGTTTGGGGTTCAGGGTTTGGGGGTAGGGTTGAGAGCCCTAAAACCCAAACCGAATGTGACTGCTTTTTTATGCCCAGTGAACGAGCATCTGCGTCGAATCATCTCGGCTCCTGGGCGAGATCGAAAGTTCTGATTTGTCGCAAGCCAGTTATGGCGAGGTGACGGCGTGAGTCTGTTCAACCCACTCAGGCTAGATTTTAAGCGTTCTGCTAGACCTGGCTCAAAATACTGTGTGGTTGCAGATTTCAGTATGTAAAGGTGCCGCTATATGGGTTATAAGCTACAGCATCCAATGTAAGGTCCCATGTGGAGCTGGGTTCCGGGTTTAAGTTTTGGACTGAACTTGAGCCCCAGGCACTGGGTCTCGCCTAGGTCAAGCTAGCAGCACCGCCGGACCTGGGCAGCCAGACCGAATGCCCAGACCAGCGATGGAGCAAAATCCAAATCCACTGACCACCCCCAATTGTCAGGTTAGGGTATTAGAAAGTAAAATTAACAAGTCAATTCAAGGCTCAGGCTTGCATGTGACGGCGGTCACTTAAGGCTTCAGGGTCGGTCGGGAACTGAACAGATCAGGGTTCAGGATCAGGTTACAGGTTTAAGAAATACCAACATTCTTGTCAACATCAGACTTGAGAATCCTGGTTTAGTTTTCTCAGGGTTGACTAGAGCAAGTTTAGGCAGTGGAGGCATTTTGGATGTGCTTGTGTTTTTGTAAAGGGAATTCTCAGTCACGTTCTTAATTTATGGGTGGGGTTTGGGAGGGACGAAGAATGCTTGATAACTGATAATGAAGACTCCACAAGGAAGTAAGCTATCTATCAATGCTGAAAACGGGCTGCAGTCGGTAGTAGCCGTCTCAGTATCTAAATGTCCAACATCAGTAATTACTTCCCTACTCCAGATGGAACTAGCGAGAGAATTCGGGCTTGAAATCTCTGTTATCATGAAACATAATGGAGTTTAAGGCTTTTTCAGTGACTTACTTCTGAATTTTAACTTCGAGTCATACAGGAGACTTGGAGCGAAGGTAGTTGTTTTGTAATGATATGAACTATTTCAACCGAGCTGGGGGAGAGTACCGATTACTCAGTCAGGAGCTTCATTCATGCAGTGAGTCTGGTCTGAGATCCCGGCTATGTCTCGGCTAGGGGTCTCGAGGGCTTGGCTTCAATGATGAGGGATTGACGATCGGAGTCGAGATGTGACTTGGATGACGAGTGACAAGCAGGCAAAGAGTAACAGCAGCAGCAGCCTAGGGGCCTTAGGGAAACCCACTGACTTAGATTCCACGGCGGGTTAGGGAACTAACTAACTAAACCGACCACCGACCAGCTCAGTGTCTGGCAGCTGCACTGCCGACCTGGGCCGGAAGAAAATGGAATGGCGAAGGTGCGAAGGCACCCGAAATCGGCAGAACTAGTCGGGTGCAGTGATTCTGCAGCAAGGCATATGAAGCAACGGAAGTTATGAGGGAAAGAGAAAGACCAGAGCTTGTCCAGGTCGAAGCCGCCGTAGTGCCAGAAGCTGCTTTCCCGATGGCTCAGAGCCGGTCGTTTCTCACTGTGACCCATGTCACCAGTGTGAACTTCTGGCTTCATGAGCATAGTAAGGTTGGCAATGAGTTTGCATACAGGAAGCCTGAAGGTGGCCTGCCTCTGTTGGTCTGTGACACGAGGACTCCAGGACTGTCTCAGGCCTGGGAAGAGCCATGTTAAGTCACGCGGCTCATGATCAGCAGCCGTGACTGAGCCAGGGCGAACTCCTCTTCAACGTCTAGGGCCCTAGGGTTCAGGGTTTAGGGTCCTGATGAAGACTGGTCCAAATTAGAGGCCTCATTTAACTTACAAGAGATAGTCTTAGTCTCAGTCCTTTCTGAAAGCTGGATTTCTGCCGGGGCTTGCTTGCTCTCTCTGTTTGTTGGGATTCCAGCAGGAGGCCTCAATAGATTCACTTATAAGTCGTTGTGCCACATGAACACATCCCTTTGTACCCTCTGACAGGTTCCTGACCCAATGAGTCCCAATCAATGAATCACAATCAATCAATCCGAGACCCCTGAAACAGATGGATGTCCCTGCTCCGGCTCTGTGGGTCTGGCCATCCCACTGTCTGTCGCAGCCATCGTGCCGGTGGCAGACTAAGACCCGGTCCTCTGGAGTTACAGATGCCGGGGATATGAAAGCTCATTCCGTATTTACTCATACCAGCATTAATTAGCACTAGCAGCAGTAGGAGAATTACTTGTAGTCCTGGTAGTACTAGCGCCACAAGTATCAGTAGCAGTAGTAGTAGAGTAGCACTGCTATTCCCAGCACTAAGTCCTACCTGCACTAGGAATAGAATTGCAGTGGTAGTCGCAAAAGTAGTATGAGTAGCAGCAGGTTTGATTTAGTAAGTACTAGTAAAGGTAGTAGTAGCATGAGCAGTTGTGAAAACCGGTCGTATTCCGTGTACTTGACACTGCTGTGTTCCTATGCCTATCACTGTACAACAACACCTAACTTACAGTATAGTATTCAATGGCACCATGGCTCAGACCCTGCCAGTGCTCAGCATTACTGTAAAAAACCCGACACCGACGAGCGACATAGCCAAGCCAGGCTTAAGGATTGAATGCAAACGTCGGAATTTGCAGTTCTGGGCTTTTGTAGTTTAGGGGTTTATAACTTGGCGATTCCTGGAATGCAAACCTTGTTGGAATTTTAGGGGTTTATAACTTGGCGATTCCTGGAATGCAAACCTTGTTGGAATAGTTAGTCGGATACGGACATGTAACGAAAACTTATCCCTACCTCACAGCTGTGCAAGGCCCTTGCTTCGGAAAGAATGGCAGATCTCTCAAACATCATGTCGGCCACTTACCATTCTCGCAGGCGAAAATCCTTCGAGTCTGACGTAGTGACACAGTCACACACAAGATCCTTTTCCGTCCCCGACACGGAAGAATGGAGTGCAGGGACTGGCTTGCCAGACCGGCCCATGCTAAGAGGCTGATTTCAGACTGCTGATTTCAGACGAAGCTGATTTCAGACTGCTGATTTCAGACGAAGCTGATTTCAGACAAGATCCTTTTCCGTCCCCGACACGGAAGAATGGAGTGCAGGGACTGGCTTGCCAGACCGGCACATGCTAAGAGGCTGAGTCACCCAGGAAAGGGATTCGCAGCAGCTAAGAGGTTTCGCAATAAGACAGGTGTCAAAGTTATTGCTCTCCAGCATTTCCCCAAAACTCTTAAGGATATGTCATGCTCCACAGACATATGTTCTCTCGCAGACACTTGGCATTGACCACGGCAACGGCATTCTGCGAAGTTGTCGTCACCAAAGCAAACCATTCCGCCCGCTTGGTGTCCTCATCTGCTATGCCACTGAGCGCCATAGCAAACGACAGGAGGCTGTAGGCACAACACTTTGGCAGAGGAACCTGCCTCGTCTTGTAGCGGTCAATGACCGCAAACGCTCGGGACAAGAATTCGTAAGCCGCCACTCTCCCATACAGTGCTTTCAGAGGACTCAGTAGTGTCTCGACCTTGTCGCTGAAGTCTTCGTACTCGTCCTGCAGGTCCTGGTCGCCCGAAGGCGAGGGCACAGGCGCAAAGGAAGGCGTGGGCATTGGCATCATCTCCTGGCTTGCTTTTGACTCAAGCGAAGCCGAGGGCGAAGGCGCTGAAGATGGCAGGGGCAAGGACGAGGGCGAGGGCACGCCGCTACCAGCATCAGACACGGCAGCAGTTGAAGCTGCCTGCTTCATCTCAGAAGCAGGACCACGAGCACCGGCAGCCTCACGTTCAGCATCTGAAGAAGCTGGCCGCTTGTTGTGTCGGCCACGCCTGCTGGATCTGCAGCCCATGCAAACATTTTCAGGTGGTCTGCGAGATGTGTATTCACCGCACCGGTTTTTGCAGAGCCAGGGCATGGCAAGCAAGAGTAGAGTAGCGGTGTTATTAAATGTGCTATTGGTAGTACTATTATTGACCAGTGTTAGAACCAGAAACTCACTTTTTGGGTATAGTCTATACCGACTTGATACACTTCCTGTATCAGAGTAGAGTCATTCAATCTTTGGTACAGAATTACAGAACCTATACTGGCTTAATCGAGTTTGTGTACTAGATTGATAGACTTCCTGGATCAAAGTTGAGTTCATCAGGTAAGAAAGAGTGAGTTACAGGAGCTACAGCACCTCAAGAACCAAGCGTTGAGCTTCTCTCGGAGTACACTATTCCACACACCAGTAGCTCCGCGAGCTACGTTTGCACCTTTCTCTAGGTAGTTGATATGCACTGCGAATGCTTGGAATCCAAGAAAAACAAGGGTGCGAATTGTAATTTCCCATAGGATATGTATTTCCCAACGACGTGCGAGTTGTCATTTCCCATAGGATTTGTGGGCTTGGAATCCAAGAAAAACACAGGGTGCGAATTGTAATTTCCCATAGGATATGTATTTCCAAACAACGTGCGAGTTGTCATTTCCCATAGGATTTGTGGGCTTGGAATCCAAGAAAAACACAGGTGCGAATTGTAATTTCCCATGTACCCCTGCAGCAAGCCTGATCGCAGACGAATGCAAGCAGATTTTTAGTCTGGCACACGGTGGCACACGATGGAAGCTTGTTTCTCCAGCTGCACTCACTCAGCTCGGTGTTCATTGCCTCTGCGTCATCGAGGACCTCCACGGTACAGAAGCAATGGCACGCTTTCGGGACCAGGCCACTCATCTGAATCCGCTGCATATACGGCCACCGTCCAACGAGTGTAGCCCAGGTGGCGAGCGAACGTGGCCACTAATGCACGAGCAAAAGCACGTGCCTTCTTGAAGCGACGGAATGGTATAGCGAAATTACGGGGGTGCAGAACATCGGTGTCGAAGCGTGCCAGAATCACAAGGAACCGAGTCATGGCTTGACGGCTTGCTCTGCCTGTCCTAATACGCAGCACACATGCAGCGGCATACAAGAATAAAGACGGCATGTATGCATGTTACATGTTGCATTGCATTGCATGGCCCAAACATGGCTGACATGCTGACATGTGACATAACATTGCTCGTGTGCTCGCCCTGTGTTTGTTCACGAAGGGACCGGGAAAGGGACCCTACATGGACGGACCATGGATTATGGAGCAGTGAGCAGCACCGGCAGCGGCACCGCATCGCCCCGGAACACAGAGCTGAAGCGGCGAACGAAAAAGTCAAGCTTGCAAGCCAGCTCATACCGTGACTCATGCCGGACTCATGCCGTATACAACAATGTATTAATGTATTAGGCAACCGGCAGCCGCGACCAATATCGAACAACGACAATGAACGACTGGTTGCAGAGCACTCGTTTTATCCTTTGACGACGGTCCGGACATGCCTACAAAATCCACAGCCACAGCAGCCACAACCTCACCGGAGAGCTCGGCCGGCTTTGCGTTGTATGCCATAGCGGACATCGCGGATGGTCTTCCACACGTCAGGCGTTGATGTCGTGTCTGTAGAGGGTCTCGAGTGCCGTCCCGCCCCATCGTTCGTTGAGGAAGTGGGCTTGGAATCCAAGAAAAACAAGGGTGCGAATTGTTATTTCCCATAGGATATGTATTTCCAAACAACGTGCGAGTTGTCATTTCCCATAGGATTTGTGGGCTTGGAATCCAAGAAAAACACAGGTGCGAATTGTAATTTCCCATAGGATTTGCGCTTGGAATCCAAGAAAAACAAGGGTGCGAATTGTAATTTCCCATAGGATATGTATTTCCAAACCACGTGCGAGTTGTCATTTCCCATAGGATTTGTGGGCTTGGAATCCAAGAAAAACAAGGGTGCGAATTGTAATTTCCCATAGGATATGTATTTCCAAACAAGGTGCGAGTTGTCATTTCCCATAGGATTTGTGGGCTTGGAATCCAAGAAAAACACAGGTGCGAATTGTAATTTCCCATAGGATTTGTGCTTGGAATCCAAGAAAAACACGGGTGAATTGTAATTTCCCATAGGATATGTATTTCCAAACGACGTGCGAGTTGTCATTTCCCATAGGATTTGTGGGCTTGGAATCCATGAAAAACAAGGGTGCGAATTGTAATTTCCCATAGGATATGTATTTCCGAACGACGAGCGAGTTGTCATTTCCCATAGGATTTGTGGGCTTGGAATCCAATAAAAACACAGGTGCGAATTGTAATT